GGAATGCAGATTGGTATACTCCTTCTGGAGGAAACTTTGGCAACACTGAACAAAAATCCTACTTCTAGGAATCTATCCAGAAGACACACCTCCAACAATAGGAAAAGGCTGTGGACAAGACTATTCATTGCAGCATTCTTACAAAATGCTGCATAAGAGAAAAAATATGACATACAAATAAAGCGTAAGCAATGTGGTATTTTAAATCAATGCAGGAGATCTGCATGTATTATCATGGATAAACCTTGAAAATAATATTTAGTGAAAAAAGTAACTTTTACAATGACGTCTGAGGGATGATACTGCATTTATACAGTAGATACCATACATGCAAAGTTTAAAAATATACAATATGGGACCAGTCTGGTGGCGTAGTGGTTAAGTTCACACGCTCCACTTCACCGGCCCGGAGTTCGCAGGTTTGGATCCCGGGCGCGGACCTATGCACCGCTCATCAGGCCATGCTGTGGTAGTGTCCCATATACAAAATGGAGGAAGATGGGTACAGATGTTAGCTCAGGGCTATTCTTCCTCAGGAAAAAGAGGAGGATTGGCAATGGATGTTAGCTCAGGGTCGATCTCCCTCACTAAAAAAAAATATATATATACAATACCATACACTGGGTATAAATATGGGTATATATGTTACTAAAATTATGAAAAATAGGGATGAGAAAATAACACACTGAAAGAGTAACCATTACTTCTGAGATAGAAAAGAAGGTGGGTTATGCATTACAATATGGCAAAATGTTGACATTTACTAATACAGGAAATAAACTATAAGGATATTTGTAATATCATTTATCATACACCTGAACTATTTTATAGTTAACAAAATTAAATATAGTTTTATACAAAGGACTTCTAATTTGGCCATTTGGATGATAAGTTATTGTTAAAATATACTTTTTTCATTTCTGATGAGTAACAATTTAAAAATTCTAGAGTGCTTGGCGATTACCTACAACGTAATCATTCATTATTGAGCATATGCTGCCACCTAGCAAAACTTCCCAGCATAGTTTGACAACCAAACAGAAAATGGTTCTCTTCTTATGGATGGACTCTGATTTACTATTCCAATAAAAATTATAAAAAGTACTACACATTCAGTTATGAAAAAGGAACTTTGCAACTTCAAAAGCACATTCAAATATAGTTCTTGAAATTTTTAGCTTCTACAATATGTGGAGGCAAATCATTTTGTTCTCTGGCACTTCAGTTTCTACCTTTACTATCTTATAGGAAACAGAAAGCAATTTTCTAACGGGCTTCTTGGTAATTTGCTATCAAGAATAAAATACTGTCAGTTTTACATAAAATTAAAGAACCCAATCAGATTGTTTCACCTCCTAATTCTGATTTTACTTATCACCACTGCCCAAAGAAACAGCTGACTGGAGCAAACCCAGCTCCAGTTTTACAAATTCTTTACTCACTAAATGCTCCGGCACTGTTGTTTTCAACTGTGCATCCTTTCTCTGGTTTTACCAGAAATGGAGGAAAAAAGTCTACATTCAGGAGATTTGCCCCTCTCATTTGAACATTAGGTGACTCAAGCTGAGCTATCCACACTTTCATCTGCCCAACGAATATTTACTTATTATTACCTGTAGACAGGTACTAAGCTAGAGGTTAGGGAAGTTGCTACAAGTCAGTTAAATATTGTCACTTCAAAGTCCACATAATGTACTGGTGAAGATAAAATATGCAATAAATAATCATAAGATGAAGCAAAAAATGATAATTTAAAAAAAGTAAAGGTAAAATTTTACATTACTTCAGAGGAATAAATGTATTTTAAGAACCTAGAATCAGGAAGTGTTCTATAAAAGTTAGCTCTTGTCCTTGGAAAATTTTTGAAAAGAATAGAATTATTAAGGGTAGAAGACACTGAAAGTTAGCATAATAAGTGCCTCTGCAGGCAGGCTTTTATTTTCACAAAAGACATTTTGGGAAATTAAATATACTATAAATTAGATGGCCACATAACTTTTTAAAAGAAAAAGCTATAACTAAAAATTACACATAGGAGTCGGCCCGGTGGCATAGTGGTTAAGTTCGCGTGCTCTGCTTTGGAAGCCCAGGGTCTACAGGTTCGGATCCCAGGTGCGGACCCGCGCACTGCTTATCAAGCCATGCTGTAGCAGGCATCTCGCATAAAAAATAGAGGAAGATGAGCACATAGAGCAAGATGTTAGCTCAGGGCCAATCTTCCTCAGCAAAGAAAAAAAAATAGATATGAATTCCAATATCCCAAAGACAATACTAGAGATTTATAAACGTTTGTGAATCTGATGAAACCTATGGACTCTTTTCCTCCCAGAGACAGACATACAAAGCAGACATACAAACACCAATTTACATATAATTTCTGGCAGTTATAGGACCCCTGAAATACATTCCTAAATCTCAGTTAAGAAGAGCTAATTTAAGATATTAAGGATCATAAAAATGATGCCTCAAGTTATTCATTCAACAGACAGGTACTGAGGATATGATGGTGAGCAAAAACTTAAAGTCAGGTGGATGGGATAAGAAATCTCTCTCACAGTCACATACATATACACTAAGCAACTATTACGACTGCTAAAAAGGAGATGTCAACGGTGCTCACAGACTGAGCGGGGTTGTGGCATAACAGAAGGTGGTGAGATTGGCCTTGTTTAGACTAGTCTTTACCTAGATCAACAGAGAGCCACCAAATAGATTTCATGCAAGGGAGATACATGATTAAATTTATGCTTTGAAGAGTGCATGCCAGCTGCACTATGGAGATCAGATTAGAGGGAGAGTAGTCAAGGTGAGTAGTTGGGAGGCTAATAGAGTAGTTTTGGTGGGAGATATAACTTGGACTAGGATAGGGGTTATGATGGAAAAGTAATGGAAAGATCTGAAAGATAATAGTGAATTTGAACTTTTTCAGATATATTTTTTTCTTGAAGTTAATTTATCTCTTTTACCAATTTTCTATGAAATTGTTTTTGTTAATTTCCACGAGCTATTTTATAGCAATGGCATTAGCCATTTATCTGTCATATTTGCTGTATTTTTTTTCCAACTGGTTGTCCTCCATTTTTCTTGGGGTTTCCCATTTCTATGTAAACAAATCAATATTTGTTTTTCCCCTTGTAGTTTTTCTCCCATTAATTTTAAATTATAACACCTTCCAACATCTCCACTTTTTTTCTATCTTTTTTTCCCCACCTTCATATTAAATATAATATCTACTTTAGTGTGGAATGTATATACTTCCTAATTTGATAAGTTCATTTAGTCATCCAGCAAACATTTATACAGCACATATGTTGTAGGTGATAGACATACACACAAAGAGAAACAGGTAAACAACTGTTTCTAGAGTAGGAAGCACTCTGGTTGGACAAAGAATACACACCTAGCCCAGACTGAGGTGAATCAGTGAAGACTTCCTAAAGGCCAAATTTTAACTGTTTTGAGGAGGCCTGGAAATTAGCTAAGAGGAAAAAGAGCCTTAATTGAAGACGCCCTAATGTCATTTACTATTCTCAAAGTAATTTCAAAATTGAACATGAAGCTCACTAGTATTTCCAGCAAATTCCGAGGTACATCACACCCTAAGGTCTTTCATGCCTCAAAGGTAAGCTAATTGAAAAGAAGTCCACCAAATGTTTTCTGGAACTAGCACAAGCTTAATGTATGTTTATGAATATAAACTAAATGCCTTCAGAGTTTCCCTCTTCAATATATCCTGTACTCCACTGACAAGTGAAATCCAGACTTATTAACCAGGCAGTAAAACAATAATATATTTCAGTTTTATTTTCTACTTCATCCCACAAGTTCTCATCAATGGAGAGTTATCTATCCCCATACCATCCAAGCGGTTTCCTATTACCATCTCCTCCCTGCTTATATTGGTCCCTCTATCTAGAATGCTTTCTTCCCCTTCACTGAATTACTGACTACAATTCCTGTGTAAGATCCTTAAAGGCCAAGAACAAACATCACTCACTTCATTCTCCACACTACTTGTTTTTCTGGGCATTATTCTGTATCCTAAGTGGGTGTTGCTTACCCCGCCCTACCTGAGTATATGTTGCTTGAAAATAAAAAGTATGCCTTACACAATTGTGTAACATAACAGTGACTTGCTCATAGCAGACACATATATCCCCTGAATAAAGAACTTCCTTTGCTGTAGCTGTGAGGTCCTCATTTGATCCTTGCTTTTCCAGCTTACTTGAAGTCTTCAGAGGACTTATGACTTTCTTGAATAGAAGCAGAAACTGGACAGGAGACAGTGGCAGACATGATAGCCTGGTGACACTGACACATTCTGGTGGAGGTGATGAGGGCAAATACCTGATTTAAAACTGGATTAAGAGAGAACGAGAGAAGGGGAACTGGGGACAGCAAGTATATCCAGTTCTTTCTTAAAGTTTTGCTGTAAATGGAAGGAGAGAAATGGGACAGTAGCTACAGGAAGAAATAAAATATATCCTTACAAACGATATGGTCTCATTCAGGATGGGCAATTTCTTAGGAGAAGCTCCAGTTCTCAATCCCTCCCCTTCACTGCCGGCAGTCAATAAAAGGCAAATAAGGCACAATGAGAGTTTATTAACTGTTCGGCACTGTGCAGTTTATATATTCCAATTAATGTAATTCTTACAACAACCTTGTGAGAAAGGTACTACCGTGAGCTTCCTTTTACAAACGAGGACATCGAATACAGAGTTTAAATGATCTTCCCAAAGTCCCACAGATAAAAATTTATGAGGCCTGAGGGCCAGAGACACGTCCCCTGCTCGAGTCACCTAGCAACCGTGAAGGGGAGTTACCGTCGTCGTGCTCCGAGTTCCGGGAAACCCGTCGGGGCCCATCCAAATCCTCCTCCAGCCGCACTCCCTACCCTCACCCCCGGCCAGCCCACGCGCCCATCACCAAGACGCAGAGGAGCCGTTCCGAGAACCCTAAAAAGGCAGCCCCCCAGGTTCCCAGACCTCGGTGCTCACCTCGTTATTGAGGTTCAGAGTCCCGGGCTGAGCCATGGTAGGTCCAGAAGGAGGATCCGCAGCTGCCGGCACGTGAACTGCGTCGCGCAGATCGCGGCTGCGCCGCCACGCCCCTCTACGGCAGCCTCTTCTATCCAAAACTCACTCGCCGTCTGCTCGACAGCGACTCTTTGAGGGCAAGAACGGAACTGAGGGAGAACAACTTCCGGAGCAGAGGGCTATGCGCCGGAATTGTGCGTTCCTATGGAAACCAGACACTGGCGCGTGGTCCGGAGGGCGGTCTGGAAGCTGTTGCCGCGTTTAGAGGTGTTTCAGGATGCTGATTTTATTACGTTGGTTTGCAGACGAGGCCTGCGTTTGTAAGGACCTTGGTTTTTGTGTTCCAATTTGGGTGAAAGAGTTTTTAAGAAGGGTCACTTGAGTGACTAATTTTTGACCCGAATTTTTATCTAGTGTTTGTAAAGATGCCTACTCTTCTAACAAGGCTGCCTTATTAGATATAGCTTTTTGTTCCAGCTCTCATTATAGCGCAGGCGTGGACATATATTTCTCCTCGCTGTAAAAAGGTTTAAATTTAGCAATGAACCAGGACGCTCGTTTGCTGCTGCGTGTGGGAAGCGCTGTTTAGAAGTATTAACCTGCAGGCAAAGGACACTTGAAGGAGTGAGTCTGAGTTAGATAATATATTGCTTAATCGTTAACACCTGGTAGTATTGAGCGTTAAAATGGGTGAAGTGCTGGGGCAAACGCTTTGCATGAATTATCTACAAAATAATCACAGAAATCCAATGAGATAGGAACTATTATTCTTATTTTATAGATGTGGAAACTGAATTCCTAGGAGCCAAGTGTCTTGCCCAGAGTTGCCCAGCTGAGGCCGACCATTGCTACAGGACTCCACTGCTGGTTACATAATCTGAGGTGCCCACTGCAAAACGAAAATGCAAGACCCCGCCCATTCAAAAAGTAGGACAAAGTTTCTTCTTTGCTTCCATGGTGCCTCTTGACCTGTCATATATTTTTCATTTGGTATTTAAATGTGGTGCTCCCTCAAGCACAAGGATACTGATGGGTTTAGTGCAGACCCTGTCAGGTGCCTGGGACCCCTGTGCTGGGACTCTGGGAGGGGTGCATGTGCTAGAACGAGATGGCAGCAGTTGCTGGGCAGAGACAGGAAAGTGGGAAACCAGGGAGCCCAACTGGGAGGATATGGGAGGCAGGACCACACATGATGTGAGACTAAGCCCTTGACATGTTTCATTGTCACACTGGACGTCACTTACAAAACTCAGATTCACACATAAAATTGTTAAGAATTTCAAGACTGTGATGAAAGAACATTTAAGCGAGCCCGACGTCTGAGCCTCTGTCCAAGAGGATGGCCCTGTCCAGAGCCTGTGCTCTTAACTTGTGATTCTGTACTTGTATTTGGGTTGGTATTCTTTTAGTTTAATGTTTGATTTGGGCACAAATAGATTAACAGCTGACTTCCTGTTTGACTAGTGTCACATAAAGGTAGTTTTTGCTGTTAATAAATCATACACTGAATTGTAATTGTCTCTTTATTCATCTACTTCCCCTTGTTAAAGCAGAGCTCCTGGAGTGCTGGGGTTTTTTCAACCCAGGTGGGTAGTAGGCAATAGGTACTCCATACTTAAATACGTAGAAAGGACATCTTAAAGGTAAATGTAAAGCTTTGTAGAAAGTGTGCCTCCTAATTTGAGAGAAAAGTGTTGTTATGGTTCCATGCTTCAGAAGGTGTATTCTTAATATGAAGTTTGTCTGTAGCTCTTAAAGACTCTGTAGTGTTTTCTCTTGACCACCCCTCTTGTTCTCCAACATCTCGTTTCTCTAGCCACCACAGTCTCTTTAGGCTGAGCACTTGCTTTCTGCCTTTTCTTAGCCCTAGCTCTCTCCTTTGCCTCTGATGCTTCCCCTGCCAGATCTACTTTCTCAAGCACTACCCTTCAACGTCAAATTCCATACATTCTTTTTAAGAATCCTTTCCATAGCACCCAACAGAAGTTGATTATTCTCATCAGCAATTCATTCTCATATTATTTACAGTAGTCTACTTTAACTTGAAATTTGTTGTGTACTGTCTGTTCTTTTACATTATAAGCTCTCAGCAACCTTAGATATTCATTTTTAAAGCAACTGGTAATTTTTCATTGTCCCTGATATATCACGAACATGTCAATCTGTCACCACCTTTTGATGCTACAGTCTCAAAAATTATTTTGATTCTGTACAGAGATGATTCTGCTAACCTGCTCTCATTAAGCAATGCACATTTCTTCTAGTAGTAATAATGCATTTGTATTAATCAGCCACAAGGTTTTCTAGAAAGCAGCACCTCCCCCTTTTATTCCTGAAGGGCTGATCTTTTAAATGCTGTCAGATATATGAAACAACTAAACTATTATCATTAAAAGCAACTAGTGTAAGACCTTTTTCCTGTTTATTACAGTGTTTCACTTTAGTGGAAGTAAGGATCCATAAGCATGTACAATGGGATTCAAGTTTTCCAATTTCAGGTTTCTGAAATCCCATTGTATTCATCTACACAGGCTGCCATAACAAAATACCACAGACTGGGTGGATTAAATGACAGAAATTTATTTTCTTACATTTCTGGAGGCTAGAAATCCAAGATCAAGGTACTCTCAGGGTTGTTTCTGGTAAGAATTCTCTTCCTGGCTTGCAGAGGCAGCCTTCTTGCTGTCTCCTCACTTGGCCTTTCCAATGTGTACACCCAGAGAGACTTCCCTGGTGTCTCTTCCTCTTCTTATAAGGATACCAATCCTATTAGATTAGGGCTCCACCCTTATGACTTCATTTTATCCTCAGTTACCTCCCTAAAGACCTTATCTCCAAATACCATCACATTGGGGGTAAGAGCTTCAATATATGGATTTTGGAGGAACACAATTCAGTCCGTAACACCTACTTTCTTTGAGAAAAAAAAATTACCTCAAAAGTAGTCTTTTCCTTATCCAACATGCCTGATGACTGTCATTTCTATCATTTAGCACTTTCAAAAATTGTAGTCATATGTTTCTAGATTACAACTAAACTCATGCATGTTTAGCAATTAGAATAGAATTGAGAATTAGACCTACACATATGGACAACTAATTTTTAACAAAGTTTCAGTGAGGGAAAGCAATCTTTTCAAAAACTGTGCTGAAACAACTGGCTATCCATATGAAAAAAAATTAACTTTGACTCATATCTCACACCAAATACAAAAACAGGTTGAAATGGATCATACACCTAAATGTAAAACTTAAAACTATAAAACTTCCAGAATAAAACACAGGACAAAAAACTTTATGACTTAGGGTTAGGCAAAGATTTCTTGGATAGCAGAGCAAAAGCAGAATCCCTATAAAAATACATTGATAAACTGGACTGAATCAACCTAAAACTTTTACTCTTCAAAATACAATGTTAAGAGAATAAAAAGCCACATATGGAGAGAAAAATTTTGCAAATAGAATATTTTATAAAAGACTTTTATTTAGAGTATATAAAGAACTCTTCAAAATCAATAAGTAAACAAACAACGCAATTAAAAAAATAGACAAAATATCTGAATAGATTCTTCACCTAAAAAGATATGTGGATAGCAAATAAGCACATGAAAATATGTTCCACATCATCATCAGGGAAATGTAAATTAAAACCACAATATGATACCGTTACACACCTATTAGAATAGTTAAAAAGTCTGATCATACCAAGTGCTGGTGAGGATGAGAGCAACTGGAACTCGCCAGCATCATTTGTGGGAATATAAAATGGTATAATCATTTTAGAAAGAGTTTGATAGTTTCTTAAATTGTATATCCACCAGCCATATGATCTAGGCTTTCCCCTCCTAGGTCAATAAAGAAACGGAAGCACATGTCCACATATAGACTTGTTTAAGGGAAGCTATATTTGTATTAGCCAAAATGTAGAAACAACTCAGATTTCCACTCAACAAAGGAATAAACTGTGATGTACACAGACACACAGACCACACACACACACACAATGGACCACCACCCAGAAATGAAAAAGAATGATACACAGTATTATATGCATGAATTTCAAAATAATTATGCTGAGAGAATCCAGACCAAAGGACTACATACTGTATTATTCCATTTATGTAAAATTCTAGGAAGTGTAAACTAATGTATAGTGACAAAAAGTAGATCGTTGATTGCCTGGGGACATAGGGGAGGAAAGATGGAATGATGGGAGGGAGAAATTACAAAAGGTCATGAGGAAACTTTTGGGAGTGATTGATATGTTAATTATCTTGATTTTTGTCATGGTACCACATTGTATACATATGTCAAAACATATCAAACTATACACTTTAATTATGTGCAGTTTATTGTGTGTCAATTATACCTCAATAAAGCTGTTAAATAAATACACTTACCATTGAACTAACAATTCTACTTCTAGAAAAATATGCTACAGTTATATTGGTACAAATTAATGATGCATAGATAAGGATATTCATTATTAAGTGCTTATAATAACAAAAGATTTGAGGCAACCTGTCCATCAACACATAACTGATTAAATTAATGGATCCATTAAGAAGAATAATCAGCTCTTTATTTACTGGAACGGAAGGCTCTTTATAACATATTGCTTAATGAGTAAATCAAGTGGCATTACACTATAGTATGCTATTATTTGTGTGTGTTTGGAGGAAGGATATGTAGATACACACATCACATTTACTTGATTGTACAGCATCTTTGTTCCCTGGAGGGGAAGTCAGTGGCTGAGGAACATAGGTAAAGTCTTTCTACTGTGTACTTTTTTGTATCTTTTAAATTTTGTAACATGTACTAGTATAAACTTGTAAAACTAGTAAAATTAAAAATATATTCTCATGGTTTTTGTTGCAATTTTGAATGGTGTATGTTCTCTCATTTCTGCCTATATTAGCTGGTAGTGCCAGGATAGATACAAGCTATGAATTTTTTTTTTTTTTGGCATATTTGTTATGTAGTCCTTATCCAAATGTTTTGTTCTTTTTGAGGGAGGAGAATTTTCTAGGTATACAATCATATTATCAGAAAGAATTATATCTATTTTTCAGTATTTATATCAATTATTTTATTATATTGTCTTA